CTATGCATTGATTTATATGAAGACAAGTACAGACATTGCTGGCAAAGTTTAGCTGTTTTCATTTACATAGCATAGCAATTATTATTGCTTTTAGAATTTTTATAGCAATATATTGGGGGGGGGGGACATTTTGAGCATATTTGAATATATTGGGGGGGGGGATGTCTCCCCCAATATCTCCATAATATCTCCATAATAAAAGGCAAAGTTGTGAACGTGTGTGTCTGTTCCAAATGTTTAGCGTACTTCCCGACATGCAACAAACTGGAAATTTGCCATGTGGGTACTTTCCAGACTGTACACCATGCAGAAATTATAAAAATACACTTTTGCATATTTTTTTTTGGGGGGGGGAGCTCAATGATGCGTTTATTTTTTGCACGGCAAGTGAGCTGTGACGTCAAATCTGTCACGTGACCCGCGCATGTGGAAGCGTAACGCATTGTAGTGTAGTGGTTAACGCGCCGCGCTACGAACCCGGCGACCCGAGTTCGATTCCCGCTCACGGCCAGCACCGGCGACGATTATTTAAACCGGTTCTGGGCCTCCCCTAGGTCGACTCAGCCTCAAACGAGTAACTGTTGTGGTTGTGTGAACATCGCCACTGGGGGGACAAAGGCGGCCGGGCGTCGTGAATCCAAGTCCCGGGCGAAGCCGGTAGTACAGCTAGTTATTGTAATTACGGCCTTGGACTGACGTAACCATGGCTTGGCGCTAGATCGCAGGGCATTCGGAACACACGCAGGAACAAACCGACACACACGCATGAACAAGCCGGCACACACACACGCATGAACAAGCCGACACACACACACGCATGAACAAGCCGACACACACACACGCACGCATGAACAAGCCGACACACACACACACACGCATGAACAAGCCGGCACACACACACGCATGAACAAGCCGACACACACACACGCATGAACAAGCCGACACACACACACACACGCATGAACAAGCCGACACACACACACGCATGAACAAGCCGACACACGCACACGCATGAACAAGCCGACACACACGCATGAACAAGCCGACACACACGCATGAACAAACCGACACACACGCATGAACAAGCCGGCACACACACACGCATGAACAAGCCGACACACACACACACACGCATGAACAAGCCGGCACACACACACGCATGAACAAGCCGACACACACACACACGCATGAACAAGCCGGCACACACACACGCATGAACAAGCCGACACACACACGCATGAACAAGCCGACACACACACGCATGAACAAGCCGACACACACACACGCATGAACAAGCCGACACACACACACGGATGAACAAGCCGACACACACGCATGAACAAGCCGACACACACGCATGAACAAGCCGACACACACACACGCATGAACAAGCCGACACACACACACGCATGAACAAGCCGACACACACACACGCATGAACAAGCCGACACACACACACGCATGAACAAGCCGACACACACACACGCATGAACAAGCCGACACACACACACACACGCATGAACAAGCCGACACACACACACACGCATGAACAAGCCGGCACACACACACGCATGAACAAGCCGACACACACACACGCATGAACAAGCCGACACACACACACACGCATGAACAAGCCGACACACACACACGCATGAACAAGCCGACACACACGCATGAACAAGCCGACACACACGCGCATGAACAAGCCGACACACACACGCATGAACAAGCCGACACACACACGCATGAACAAGCCGACACACGCACACGCATGAACAAGCCGACACACACACATACGCATGAACAAGCCGACACGCACACGCATGAACAAGCCGACACGCACACGCATGAACAAACTGACACACACACGCATGAACAAGCCGACACACACGCATGAACGCAAGCGAGGGGCGTTCCATTATTCATGGCCTGCGCCATGGCAAGTGGGGTCGACGAGATAGCATCTAGCTAGCACTGCCCTGGACATAAACACGTTCGTCAATAGCATTGTGTGTGAGTGTGTGTGTCTTTGTGTGTGTGTGAGAGTGTGAGTGTGTGTGCGAGAGTGTGAGTGTGTGAGTGTGTGTGTGAGTGTGTGTCTGTGAGTGTGTGTGTGAGTGAGAGTGTGTGTGTCTGTGTGTGTGTGAGTGTGTGTGAGTGTGTGTCTGTGAGTGTGTGTGAGTGAGAGTGTGTGTATGAGTGTCTGTGTGTGAGTGTGTGTGTATGAGTGTGTGTGTGAGTGAGTGTGTGTGTATGAGTGTGTGTCTGTGAGTGTGTGTGAGTGAGAGTGAGTGTGTGTGTATGAGTGTGTTTCTGTGAGTGTGTGTGAGTGAGAGTGTGTGTGTGTGTCTGTGTGAGTGTGTGTGAGTGAGAGTGTGTGTGTCTGTGTGTGTGTCTGTGTGAGTGTGTGTGTATGAGTGTGTGTCTGTGAGTGTGTGTGAGTGAGAGTGTGTGTGTGTCTGTGTGTGTGTGAGTGTGTGTATGAGTGTGTGTCTGTGTGTGAGTGAGTGTGTGTATGAGTGTGTGTCTGTGAGTGTGTGTGAGTGAGAGTGTGTGTATGAGTGTGTGTCTGTGTGTGTGTATGAGTGTGTGTCTGTGTGTGTGTGTGAGTGAGAGTGTGTGTATGAGTGTGTGTCTGTGAGTGTGTATGAGTGAGAGTGTGTCTGTGTGTGAGTGTGTGTATGAGTGTGTGTATGAGTGTGTGTATGAGTGTGAGTGAGAGTGTGTGTGTGTCTGTGTGTGAGAGTGTGTGTATGAGTGTGTGTGTGTGAGAGTGTGTGTCTGTGTGTGTGTGTATGAGTGTGTGTCTGTGTGTGTGTGTATGAGTGTGTGTCTGTGAGTGTGTGTGAGTGAGAGTGTGTGTATGAGTGTGTGTCTGTGTGTGTGTCTGTGTGTGAGAGTGTGTATGAGTGTGTGTCTGTGTGTGTGTCTGTGTGTGAGAGTGTGTGTATCAGTGTGTGTCTGTGTGTGTGGTTGTGAGTGAGAGTGTATGTATGAGTGTGTGTCTGTGAGTGTGTGTGAGTGAGAGTGTGTGTGTGTCTGTGTGTGAGTGTGTGTGTATGAGTGTGTGTCTGTGTGTGAGAGTGTGTGTATGAGTGTGTGTGTCTGTGTGTGAGTGTGTGTATGAGTGTGTGTCTGTGAGTGTGTGTGTCTGTGAGTGTGTATGAGTGAGAGTGAGTGTGTGTCTGTGTGTGAGTGTGTGCATGAGTGTGTGTATGAGTGTGAGTGAGAGTGTGTGTGTGTGAGTGTGTGTCTGTGAGTGTGAGTGTGTGTCTGTGAGTGTGTGTGAGTGTGTGTGAGTGAGAGTGTGTGTCTGTGTGTGTGTGTATGAGTGTGTGAGTGTGTGTGTATGAGTGTGTCTGTGTGTGTGTGTGTATGAGTGTGTGTGTATGAGTGTGTGTATGAGTGTGTGTGTCTGTGTGTGTGTGTGTGTCTGTGTGTGTGAGTGTGTGTGTGTGAGTGTGTGTCTGTCTGTGAGTGTGTATGAGTGAGAGTGAGTGTGTGTCTGTGTGTGTCTGTGTGTGTGTATGAGTGTGTGAGTGTGTGTGTATGAGTGTGTGTCTGTGTGTGTGTGTATGAGTGTGTGAGTGTGTGTGTATGAGTGTGTCTGTGTGTGTGTGTGTATGAGTGTGTGTGTATGAGTGTGTGTATGAGTGTGTGTGTCTGTGTGTGTGTGTGTCTGTGTGTGTGAGTGTGTGTGTGTGAGTGTGTGTGTATGTGTGTGTGTTTGTCTGTGTGTGTTGGGAGCGGTGGTGCAGCGGTTATCACGCTGCGCTTCACACCCGGCCACCCGAGTTCGATTCCCGCTCACGGCCACCAACACCGGTGACGATTATCTGAACCGGTTCTGGTCCTCCCCTATGTCGACTCAGCCTCGAATGAGTTACGTAGTGCAGTGTAAAAAAAAAAACATCGCCACTGGGGGGACAAAGGCGGCCGGGCGTGGTGCTGGCCACCCACCCCGCTGCCCCATGTCACCTCCACTGCCCCACGTCACCACTGCTGCCCCACGTCACCACTGCTGCCCCATGTGACCGCTGCTGCCCCATGTCACCACTGCTGCCCCACGTCACCACTGCTGCCCCACGTCACCACTGCTGCCCCATGTCACCTCCACTGCCCCACGTCACCTCCACTGCCCCACGTCACCACTGCTGCCCCATGTCACCTCCACTGCCCCACGTGACCGCTGCTGCCCCATGTCACCTCCACTGCCCCACGTGACCGCTGCTGCCCCATGTCACCTCCACTGCCCCACGTGACCACTGCTGCCCCACGTCTCCTCTGCTCTGTGCCGTGCACAAGGCGGATTTCATTTCGAGATGTATTGAGAGCCAATAAAATAAAACAACAAGAAAATCTAATTTTTTTGCTTACAATGATCATCATATCGGATGACGAAGCTTTAAAAGTTACGCCGTTCGATATCATCGATAACGCATTCAATGTTGTGACAGAAGGACCGAATGTTGGGTGACGCATTCATTCGTAGAACCCGAGGCACGGTGCCTATACGCCTGTGACATATTGGGTGATAGGGCCCTGGCCACAATCATCACCACGCTGAGACCAGTCAACATCGCCACCATCATCATCATGGACTATAAGCCTCGTCATCGCCACAACATCATCACATCCACACCATCATCACTACCACCATCATCATCATGACCAACACATCACCACGATCAGCATCTACTATAGTTCAACATACACACAATATAACAACCACCACATTATTAGAATTACCATCATGATCATCACTACCAGCATCACCACCACCACGACCGCACTATGCTCATTACCATCATCACTACCACCATCATCTTTATCACGACCACCACCACATCACCACGGTCATCATCATCTACTATAGTTCAACATACATACACCATCATAACCACCACATTATCATCATTACCATCATCATCACTACCACACCACCACACTATGCTCATCACAACCACCACCACTAACCACCATCACCACTCACCACCCACCTGCACCGCATCTGCCGCGCAGGACGCGAACACGAACGCCACCCAGATAGAGGCGCAGATGATGACGGTGCCGTGGCTCCATCCTCGAGAACCACCAGCAGCAGCAGCCATGGTGGAGTCTCACGGACGAGGTGGCGATGCGCAGGAGCGTCTCGCCTTTGTCTCTTTGTGCGATGCGTCTACGTGTCTGTGTGTCCGTCTGCGTGTGTGTGTGACCGTGTCTCTGTGTGTGTGTCCGTCTGTGTGTGAACGTGTCTCTGTGTGTGTGACCGTATGTGTGTGCGACCGTGTCTCTGACCGTGTCTCTGACCGTGTCTCTGCGTGACCGTGCCTCTGTGTGTGTGTGACCGTATGTGTGTGTGTGACCGTGTCTCTGCGTAACCGTGTCTCCGACCGTGTCTCCGACCGTGTCTCTGCGTGACCGTGTCTCCGACCGTGTCTCGGTGTGTCCGCGAGACAAAGGCGATGGAAAGCGACCGATAATCCCACTTGTGTCTGCCCGCAGTAGTAGTGGTGTTTGTGTCTGCCTCCTCCTCCTCCTCTCTCTCTGCGGTCAGGACTCAGGTGTGGCCCCTTCAGGTGTGGCTCAGGTATCTTGCCCTTCCCCCCACACACACCCCGTATGTGGATGACGAGGCCACGCCAGTGAGAGAGAGAGAGTGTGAGAGAGAGAGAGGGGGGTTTGGATGATCAAAGAATATCTCCGGGTAACCAGGGAGAACCAGTGCCAGACGAAGCTCGTGCGGGGCCTGGAGCGTGATGTTATAAAGTGGCCCTAAATTAAACAAACACGAGAGAAGGGGGCCGTCCATAAATGACGTCACGCACCTACAGTCAGGGAAAAAAGTAGTTGATCCCCTGCTGATTTTGTACGTTTGCCCACTGACAAAGAAATGATCAGCCTATCATTTTAATGGTAGGTTTATTTGAACAGTGAGAGACAGAATAACAACAACAGAATCCGGAAAAACGCATGTCGAAAATGTTATAAATTGATTTGCATTTTAATGAGGGAAATAAGTATTTGACCCCTCTGCAAAACATGACTTAGTACTTGGTGGCAAAACCCTTGTTGGCAATCACAGAGGTCAGACGTTTCTTGTAGTTGGCCACCAGGTTTGCACACATCTCAGGAGGGATTTTGTCCCACTCCTCTTTGCAGATCTTCTCCAAGTCATTAAGGTTTCGAGGCTAACGTTTGGCAACTCGAACCTTCAGCTCCCTCCACAGATTTTCTATGGGATTAAGGTCTGGAGACTGGCTAGGCCACTCCAGGACCTTCATGTGCTTCTTCTTGAGCCACTCCTTTGTTGCCTTGGCCGTGTGTTTTGGGTCATTGTCATGCTGGAATACCCATCCACGACCCATTTTCAATGCCCTGCTGAGGGAAGGAGGTTCTCACCCAAGATTTGACGGTACATGGCCCTGTCCATCGTCCCTTTGATGCGATAAAGTTGTCCTGTCCCCTTAGCAGAAAAACACCCCCGAAGCATGTTTCCACCTCCATGTTTGACGGTGGGGATGGTGTTCTTGGGGCCATAGGCAGCATTCCTCCTCCTCCAAACACGGCGAGTTGAGTTGATGCCAAAGAGCTCAATTTTGGTCTCATCTGACCACAACACTTTCACCCAGTTGTCCTCTGAATCATTCAGATGTTCATTGGCAAACTTCAGACGGGCATGTTTATGTGCTTTCTTGAGCAGGGGGACCTTGCGGGCGCTGCAGGATTTCAGTCCTTCACGGCTTAGTGTGTTACCAATTGTTTACTTGGTGACTATGGTCCCAGCTGCCTTGAGATCATTGACAAGATCCTCCCGTGTAGTTCTGGGCTGATTCCTCACCATTCTCATGATCATTGCAACTCCACTAGGTGAGATCTTGCATGAAGCCCCAGGCCGAGAAAGATTGACAGTTCTTTTGTGTTTCTTCCATTTGCGAATAATCGCACCAACTGTTGTCACCTTCTTACCAAGCTTCTTGGCAATGGTCTTGTAGTCCATTCCAGCCTTGTGTAGGTCCACAATCTTGTCCCTGACATCCTTGGAGAGCTCTTTGGTCTTGGCCATGGTGGAGAGTTTGGAAACTGATTGATTGATTGCTTCTGTGGACAGGTGTCTTTAATACAGGTAACAAGGTGAGATTAGGAGCACTCCCTTTAAAAGTGTGCTCCTATTCTCAGCTCGTTACCTGTATAAAAGACACCCTGGAGCCAGAAATCTTTCTGATTGACAGGCGGTCAAATACTTATTTCCCTCATTAAAATGCAAATCAATTTATAACATTTTTGACACGCGTTTTTCTGGATTTTTGTGTTGTAATTCTGTCTCTCACTGTTCAAATACACCTACCATTAAAATTATAGACTGATCATTTCTTTGTCAGTGGGCAAACGTACAAAATCAGCAGGGGATCAAATACTTTTTTCCCTTACTGTAGGGGGGGGTGGGGTGGGGGTCAGACATTTGTGACGATGTGCGACGAGGGGGGGGGGGGGGTGAGAAATGTGACGTCACATCAAAATGCGCAACTTTAAATACATATAGACAACACGTTCTACTTAATTAAATATACTTTTTAATAAAAAAAAATGTTTCCCTACAACATCAGAGTGCAGCGCCACATTGAATACGCACTACAATGACAATAGTTTAAAGCGATTTGAAGCATGTTTTTTTTTTTGGGGGGGGGGGGGGGGCAGAGTCTTTAGTTCGCTGTGCAAACACGCACGCGGGCACAACCAAGGCCGTATTGATGATAATATATACGCGCGCTTCACACGCCCGCACACACTCGCACCACACCTACGCTCTCCCCACCCGCACAGAAATCACACCACACGGATCCTCTGTGCTAAAGTTTATCAATGGCGCCGAAACGCATTACCCGGATGAGGGATGTTTCGCGAGCAGAGCCTAGCGAAGAACTCTGCCTATGAACCCAGTTACCCAAACGTCCTGCCACGTACCTCGCAGCTGTACGCACGGCGTCGCACGCACGCGAAACCCTCGCTTATCGCTGCCCCGTAGCGGCACTCGCGGGCTAACGCGCGGATGCTGCGGGCGGCTCAAGGAGGCGGGACGGCAGGTGAGGGGTCCGGATCGGCCAGAGGTTGAAGACAACCGAACACACCGTCCCGGGGCACCTGTCTTTCTTCTCTCAACTTCAAAGGCCCAGGGTGACGTCATACCGCGCAGACAACCGGGCGCTTAAATTTTGATCTAAAGCTTTCGTGACTGCAGTAATTCATATTCTTAGCTCTTTCGGTAAAGTCGCCACGTTGAAGGGAAACAATGAAATAATAAAATATATGTAAAACAATAAAAAAATTCTCACGACGTTTCGACCATAACACAAACGGTCGTCATCAGGTGTGTCGGTTCGTATTAATTTATTTGTAAACGGTGTATTTATTTATTTATTTTTTAAAACCCTGCCAAATCGCTATGCGTGGCGCTAACGTTTTATTTATTTATTTTGTGTAAACAAATACACCGCTTAAAAATAAATAAATTAATGCGGACCGACACACCTGATGACGACCGTTTGTGTTATGGTCGAAACGTCGTGAGAATTTTTATTGTTTAATATATATTTTATTATTTTATTGTTTCCCTTCAACGTGACTTTACCGAAAGAGCTAAGAACCGGGCGCTTACCCGTGCCCGCCGTCATCGTCCCCCTCCACCGTCTCTACCGTGGCCCAATCCCCTCACTTCAAAGGCCCAGGGGTGGCATTGTACTGCTCAGCCAATCGCGCGCTCACCTGCGCCGTCTACATGGAGGGCCACTGGGTCTGCTGCTGCTGCGGCCCCTCACACATTGTCCTCCCGTGCTCATTGATTCTGACCCACTGGTCTGCCCTTCTGGCCTAATATTCCACCCTCCGCCTCTCCCAGCGAGCGCCTTGAGTAACTCATTGCGGGTGGCCCAGTGAACCTCATCGTTCGGCGCCCATACAAATCTTAAAGCCAATTTAGGGGCACCGCAATGCAACCTGTCCTGTGGGGGTCGGCCAAGCGCCTGGCACCGGGAAACCGTGGGACTCTCCCGCTAGGGGCCCTTCGGATTAAAACCCGATGTGCCAGGCAACCCCCCGTCAGGACACCACTACGTGGGTGCGCTGTGTGTGGGTTGTGTGTTTAGTGTGGGGGCCGGGAGGGGAGTGCGGTGTTAGCGGAGTTGCTCCGTGGTCGTGGCACCACGTGTAACGTGCCCCGCGCTTAATTTGTGTTTTCGATTATTTACCTTCTAATAACAAATCTGGCCGTGTCTCGTACCCCCAGGGGGAGGTTCGTGATGCACCCCCAAGTTAGGGCGACGAACCCCTGCCCCAGAGGTACATCCTGGACATGGTGTTGGTGCCATCACGGGCAAGAGTAGAATAGGCGATGGGCAATGTTAGTCTATGGGTAATGTTAGTGTATGGGTAATGTTAGTCTATGGGTAATGTTAGTCTATGGGCAATGTTAGTCTATGGGTAATGTTAGTCTATGGGTAATGTTAGTCTATGGCTCATGTTGGTCTATGGGCAATGTTAGTCTATGGGCAATGTTAGTCTATGGGTAATGTTAGTCTATGGGTAATGTTAGTCTATTGCACTGTTAGTCTATGGGCAATGTTAGTCTATGGCAATGTTAGTCTATGGGTAATGTTAGTCTATGGGCAATGTTAGTCTATGGGTAATGTTAGTCTATGGGTAATGTTAGTCTATGGCTCATGTTGGTCTATGGGCAATGTTAGTCTATGGGCAATGTTAGTCTATGGGTAATATTAGTCTATGGGTAATGTTAGTCTATGGGCAATGTTAGTCTATGGGTAATGTTAGTCTATGGGCAATGTTTGTCTATGGGTACTATTAGTCTATGGGTAATGTTAGTCTATGGGCAATGTTAGTCTATGGGTAATATTAGTCTATGGGCAATGTTAGTCTATGGGTAATATTAGTCTATGGGCAATGTTAGTCTATGGGTAATATTAGTCTATGGGCAATGTTAGTCTATGGGTAATGTTAGTCTATGGGCAATGTTAGTCTATGGGCAATGTTAGTCTATGGACTGCAGCGTGGGGTTATGGATGCGAGTCTGCATGTCGATCTCTCTTTGCACTTCTCTCTCTCTGGCCTATGTGCTGTGGAGAAGGGCGCTTGCCCGAAACGTCGTCTGTTAGAGACGCCTTTACTGTTTAATGCCACGCCGTCTTATTGACGAATGCGTTTGTGTTGTTTTTGTTGTTGTTTGCACTCTTGTAGGACATGTGTCTCTCTGTGTGAGTCTGTGTGTCTCTGTGTGAGTCTATGTCTCTCTGTGAGTCTATGGGTCTCTGTGTGAGTCTATGTCTCTCTGTGTGAGTCTATGTCTCTCTTTGTGAGTCTATGGGTCTCTGTGTGAGTCTGTTGGTCTCTGTGTGAGTCTATGTATCTCTCCGTGAGTCTGTGAGTCTCTGTGTGAGTCTGTGTGTCTCTGTGTGAGTCTATGTGTCTCTGTGTGAGTCTATGTCTCTCTGTGAGTCTATGCCCTCTGTGTGAGTCTATGGGTCTCTGTGTGAGTCTGTGGGTCTCTGTGTGAGTCTATGTGTCTCTCCGTGAGTCTGTGTCTCTGTGTAAGTCTGTGTGTCTCTGTGTGA